TCAATAATATCTAAATCACAACCGATTGCTCCAATGCCAACTCCATCAGCAATCGTCTCCTCCAACGGACTCTCAAGTATTTTCAATGACCAATCACTTAATGGAGAGATAACTTGTTCTGCATCAATTGTAGGCGCTGATTGTGAAGACACAGAATTTACTTTAGATTGGCAATATCCAAAAGTGAATAATAAAACTGAATCGGCTTATTTGTCTTCAGATAATCATTTTAACAGCCATCATCGATCAAATCATTCGTCTGAAAATAAAAATCGTAAACGATCTCAATCGACAGGCTATTTGAACGAATCTTCTAGCATTGTCGATGGACAACTGAATGATAATATTGAAATGAGATCATCCGAAAGCTGGACACAATTTTTGTTGAAAAGTCGAGGATCAAGCATGACATCACTCAATGAAGTGCATAATAGTCCAGGACTTGGAAAGTCTCTTGATCCAACTGGGAGAACTGTTTTGGGTTACGGTTCATCAACACCTGGTAAGCGTTCAAGCTCACAACTATCTTCATCAGGAAAGTGTAGAAATTTGGCTTCATCGCTTCAGTCTTACTTTTTCTCTGGTGGAAATTCAAATAATCCAAATGAGTCGATTAATGTTATCAAGACCAGTAATTCATCATCATCATCGTCATCATCTCAAAAAAGTAAATCAGCCGAAAGACAATCCATCAAAGATTCCCTTGACTCCTCCAAATCATTCCCTCTGCCCAATGTTTTCAAGAAAAATTTTATTGCCAAGGGACATTCAAATTGTGGACTTTTTTCTGGCGCTAAAAATTCATCAACATCATCATCTTCATCTAAATCATCTGAAATATTGAATAGTAATGTAAACAAAAATTTACATCGGGAATTGAATCTAGCAGCTAAAGAAATTGGAGCCTTTTATTGATAGAGTCTCTTCAAGGAAGGCTCTTTTGTATACATAAAAACTTAATTATGGACCCGTTTTCATTAACATTAATTGAGAGTTATAAAAGTTTTGTATTTATATTCTTAATTTGATTCGTAATTTTGATTAATTGAATATTCAAACCTTTATTCGTTATTTTATCTAATGTTGAAAATAAAATTTACTGTTAGCAAAACACGACCTTCTTGTTAGAGAAACCTTATGTGTTATTGTGTTTATTGTGTGTATAGTGTTATTCAAACCTTGATTTAGTCCTGTACGAGCCTTGCTTCGTTAGTGACATAATTATTTATTGATGAAAAAACTTACAGAAATGTAATGCTTTAATTGAAATGTAAATTTGGCAATTTTTTCTACTTTTTCAAACTAAAGTCGGTCAAACAGAGAACTTCATATTCAATGGCTTCAACTTCTGTATCATCATATGAAGCATAAGCAAGTTCATCTCTTGCCTCAACTTTACCAATCAAAATCTGATTTTTGTGATAAAATTTAGCAATGGGAAGTTCGTCGGTTACATCTGATGAACCAGCAATTAAAGTTCCCATTGGTAAATCACCTTTTGAAGATGTCACCCAGGTTAGCTTCGATTCATCTTTGGCTTCTAAAAATTCAAAGGTTTCCATTTCATAAGAATTGCCTCCGTAAGAGATTAAACAAACGCTTTTCCTTGGGTCAAGAGTTCCTGGAAATATGCCAATATAAACTCCTGCATAGTGTTCATAATCTGCTCGACAGATCAAAACGGGATCGTCATTCGTTTGGTAACCAGCTACGTATGCATTGGAAAGAGAAACGTTGTCTTTGAATGCAACCCATTCTGGTTCACTTTCATCTACAATAATTCAGTAAAAAATATATCTTTATATTTTCATATACAAGCTGAGAAGCGCATCTGAATACGACAATTCTAGGTCACTCAATATTGTTTGACTATCATCAGATTAAACTACAACTGTAGTTTGTCACAAATGAATCTATGATGATGTTTTTACTTTTCTGGTTAACACATTCAAAATTGGTGCCTAATTATTGATAAAATTCATTTAACTGTTGAATGATAAGCCTTACCTTCATTGAATGACCAAGATGATGATCTTTTGAGAATAGGAACTAAAACGCAAATTGTAATGGTAACTCCTAGTAAAGCAGCAAAACCAATGCCAATAAGAGTTCGGGACAACATTTTGGTTTTAAAAACAGACTTATAAAAACTAAACACTTTTAGCAGCTCTTAGCTTCTAAATTTAATGAAGAGCAACCAATAAACCATAACTTGGTACAGAAATGAATAAACGGATAAAACATTCATGATAAGTGTTCAAGTAAAGTTACCATGTAAAGTCAATTCTGAGCCAGTAGCTTAAGTAGTAGCAATCGATAAGAGAACAAAGAAACCTCCCAATCTCGAAATGGTTGATATCTCTTGATAATCAGACTTTTTGATTCAGTTAAATCTTCAAGAGACATTCGAAGCTGAAAAATATGCGAAATCAACTAAAATCTTTATGAGACTAACCATACTGTTTATTTCAAATCTTGTACCTAATTAAAACTTAAAGACAAGCAATGTTTAAGTTTTTGATGACTGGTTAGCTCCGCTTATCGAACTCAAAAACTGAATCTAGTTTTGTAAATTTTATATTGTAATACAAAGAGGCGTTTTATTAGCCATGAACCAAATCATTAAGATTGATAATAAATTCAACAAATAATAAGGTATCATGAGCTACCCCATAATAATTAAAGATGTTGATATGATTAGAATTGACTTGTGAAGTTTTTATTATTTATCTCAGATTACATCTCTTATTGACTGGATTTCTTGCATAAAAGATTGGAATGATAAATTATTTACATGTAAATTAACAATAGACGGCGGATTCAGAAAACTAATAGAATTGGAGTGAATATATTCTTGGAACATTTGGATTCACATGCAGTTGAGTGTGAGATGAACAATCAAAAGTTCGACATATTTATCTTAGTAATTCCAGGTTGTTCAGCAACTTGTTTTGTCCAAGTTAAACTTTCATTTAACTGTGCGAAAACTCGTTTGGGTTTGATTTTTTCGTAGACACATGGAGCTGAGAATAATAATAAAGAAACAATGACCATAAACATCATGATTATGCCGAAAGCATTCGATTCACTCGCTCCTTTGATTACTTGAGTTTCACTTGATTCTTCTGTGGTATTGTCATTTGACTGAGTTATAAATTCGTAATTAAAACAGTAACCTTCATCAGTACTATTTGCATCAGAACTTTTAACTGAATATTTAGTCAATGAACATGAACTTTCCATTTGATTGATATTTCTGGGACAATAGTTGAAAGATTTACATCCAGTGTCACCATCAGTCCATCCATGACACAATGAAGCACATTGGTCTAGATTCAAGTTCATCTCAGTGTGAATCACTTCGGATACTATTTTATTGCCAGTATTCCTGTACTCATGATATACTTTGGCTAATATTGAAAAAAGAAGAGCTCATGAGATGTCTAAAAGAAATCATATTCAAGAATACTTACGATAATATATTGCACAGACTTCGTCATACTCAGTGGTTGAGTCGGTGTATAAGCTATTGAAACTACACGAATATCCACAGTCTTGGAATGATATACAATCATCAGAGTGCAAACACTCCTGTGCACAAGAAGTTGCACTTTGCCTGATTGCAGTTGATATTTGCTTTTTGAACTTTCGGTTAGGAACTTTTGAGTAAAATCGCAAAGCATTCATTGTGAAAATAGAGCATTTCGAATCCGTTTCTTTGTTTGCTGCATCAGTAAAATTACTCTCTCTCAAGGTGCTTACTCTGCAGTCAACGAAATCAGAATCAGAACAAAAAGAAAAAGAATTACAGTCAAGTCCCTCTGATTTTTGACAGACTCTGAGGCAGTCAGAAAATTCTGCGATTCCAGGTACAACTAAAGTGGTTTTGTCATCTTTTCTTATCTTCGAATTGCCTCCGATTTCATGGTATAAAGTAATATCCGACTCTTTAACATCCCTTTCGAATTCGCCCACTTTAACTATATCTATAATTTTGAAAGAAATAGCTGTGGAAAAATTTTGAAGATAAAATTAAGATACAGAAATTAAATTCATTTCATAATAAATGTTTACATTCGTGTGATTCAGGATCTTCCATTGAAAATGTTTTGAATTTATTCTCTAAAAAGGATTTTTGAAGATCATCAAGTGCTAATTCATGACTTATGCGATAGTAATTTTCGAATGGCAAGATGTAAACGTTGCACGATTCTCCATTTTTGGCATCTTCCTTGAAATCCCTAAATTTTTTCAAATAACCACAGAATGAATCTGAAGATCTCCAGATGCCAACACTAATTGAAAAAAAGAGTAAGTCATTATTCGTATAAACAACTCAAACACACAGACTTGCAATTAACTCACGAAAAAAGTCCACGAACAAGACCTAATTGATACAAGCATTCACTTTCATTACTTGCAGAGAGAGTTCTAGCCACATCGAATGTTTCGTTACTGACAAGCATTTTTTCTGGCTTTATAAGATCTGTAAAAAAATATTCGTGCATGTTTATCCATTGAATTCCAAGTTAAAATCAATTTACCATCGAAATTAGGTTTATCAAGAAATGTGACATTAATTTCGATTTGAGAGTCGGAAGAACGGTATTGAATATCATCGATCCTCAGTGGAGAGATTGTTTGATACAATAGTATTGCATCTATAAACTTTATCCTGAATTGGACCAAAAGTCTGTTAGCTAATTTTATACAATCTGTATTAAGTGCTGTAAATAAAATTGAGACATTAATAATCCATTCATTATTTTGTATGCTTGCTCAATGAACAATGAATTCCATTGAAGCAAATTCAAAGCTCGCTTTCAGAATTAATTACATTAATTATAATATACACATGTTTAACCTTTGATTTGAGAGACATAAAGTGAATATCAATATCAATACATACCTTCACATGCTATTTTAAAGTTAAGGGTTACTTTTCTGTCATTTAGCAAGTATTTACAATCATTAGGCATAAAATAATCATATAATTCTTTTTCTCCAGCTTCAATCTTTCGCATATTGTTGTAGCCTCTTATGATCCTTTTCGCCAAAGCGTAGCTTTTTTTCTGATGAAAAAATTTGAAATGATTTAGATGATCACAAAAAGATACTATTGTAAAGATACTATAGTATTAAGAATGGAAATTAATACTTACCGATGAGTCTGAGTCATAGATGGAAATCATTGTTTGGACAAGCGCTGAGCCATTAAATATGATACTGTTTGGCTTTTCCAAGTTATGAACGAAAAAGGAAAATTGTCAAAAAAATGAAATAAAGATTGGAAAAATTTTACAGATATTGAAAAGTATATTATAATTGGACTTCCCTCACTAAATACATTCCCTCGATTGCTTCATAACTATGCTGTTGAATTGTTGGACTTTTACAGTTTAATTAAAGTTATATCAAACTTACCGATTCAACGAAATATTGAGTAACGACAAATTTATCCACTTTATTTCCTTCAAAATCAACATTGAATTGAACTGATTCCCATGCATCAACAGGAAATTTAAATTGGTCTACCTAAAGAAATTCAAAACACAAAATTCAACTTTAACATTTTCACAATTCGTGAAGTTACTTACGAAGTAGTCCTTTCGCACATAATTGAAGTCTCCATCGAAAAAGAAAAGATTCTCAAGCTTAAAGTAACCTTTTGCGTCGCGTCCAGGGGAGTTCCTGTCTCCGATTGTAATCCAGCAACGTCCACCTTCTTCAAGAGTAAGAATGATTCCTAGTTCATTATCGTAGATGACTTCTGTATTTACACCAGTGAAGTTTGTTTTAAGCCTCATCAAAAGGCTCTGTACAGATGCCGTAATCTGTAAGCGTAATTCAATTGGATGAGAAACAGACTAAACTAAACGTATCGAAACTAACTTCACTGAATGATAGGTTATTAGTTGAGTTGTTCATACGGGTGAAGTTTACATACATGGCCCATAACTTGGGAATCGGTTTCCTTTGACGTGGTATTAAGTAATTCGGACAACCAATTCCCAGGTGAAGGCTAAACAAGAATTAAGTCAGTGAGAGTATTAATAAGACCCAATCAGTCGGACTTTTGTATTTATCGAACAAGCAAGGTTCAGAGCATTGGAAAATAGTTCAAGAACTTAATTTTTGTCCATGAAAAAACGGTGAAAATTTAAAATTAAATACGAATGAAGATACTCGAAAGCAGTAAACTTGAGAAAAGTTGTTCTCTTACATGCTTGGCTCACCTACAATTTTGCATTTGAGCTTATATGTTTTGGCATTTTGCTGGACTAATAGTTAAATGTCAACAAACAAATCTTGAATTTACTTAATCTTACTTAAACTTTATACTTCACATAATCAAATAACATAGAATCGGACCCAATTTTGTGAAATTCTAAAAATGAATTCTCCTCAGGTGGATATGGAGATGGTCCATAGCTATAAAATCCAATTCGAGTTTCAAAGGTTTCTTCCAGTTAGATGGAATAATAATAAAGTCCCAATCAATTAAACTTTTATATACACTGAATTTGAGCTGATGATATGTTTCAGTCATTAAATGGACTAAAAGTCAAATATCAACGATAGATCTTGAATTTCTTACTTTAGTTTTGTACTTTAAATCAGTAGTTTGAATCGGAGTGAAAGACTTTTGCTTGGCAATAGGTATAACTCCACTTCAGGTGACTTTGTAGATCGGTTATAGCCATTGAATTCAATTTTCAATATATTTCCATGAGTGTATTTATCTGGTTCATGAATGAGAATAAGGACTTTTTGAATGCATTAAAAATATGGACTTACCATCGAAATCAAAAGTGATTTCCAATGTTTTATTAACAACAGTCGTTATAAGTTTCCTACTCAATCCATGCTGTGTAGCTTGACTCTATTTCAAAATAAATTTAATTTCAAGTTTCATTAACAGAATAGTTGTTATCAACTTACCCAAACAGTTGATTGTCCATCAAGTCGGTATATAATTGAAGGTCCCATCAGGAGTATTAGATCTCTAAGAGGTTTATTATCTCCAAATAGATTTGCATTTTGAGTCATTTTACTGTGATTGTATAATGTGCAATCATTACCTTTAATTATTAAAGAAATGAAATATATTTTGTTTACCGAATTTCACTTATTTTTTTCTATCCTTATGTACAATAAATTAGGAGCAGTTTTGAGACAAGGAAATAATTTACCATCATGTATGTATTTACATCAACAATTAAACAGATTCTTACCATGAATAACTAATCTCTCCTTGTTGTCTTTACCAGATCTATCAAACTGATAATAAATATCG